TAATGGGAATTTACCTGCTAGTTGATGTTCATGTGTTGGTTCGTAATGGATTCTCTTAGCCAATCTGCCTGTGGGGGACATGTGCCCTGACCAAATAAGTCAGAGCTTACATGCATACATCCCATTGGGTTCACAAAGAAAAACGTGCTTTGGTTTTAAGCATTGTTGTTATGTACAGAGCTAATGAGTCAACAAGGCACTGTTCAATACAAAACATAGAATTAAAGTATAACACAGTGTTAGAACAAGCTAACTAAGAGGCCACTATTTTTGTTAGGCATACTCTATTTTATTTCTTGTCTTCTCTGAATTGTTGTGTTGGGCTTTTTAATTGACTTTGGAGATTTTTGTTGAAAGAAAGTATAGAAACCTCTAAGCATAAACACACCCCTTCTTTTTGAAGCCTTACAGTCAGTAATCTAACAGTATCAAGGCATATTCATACACAGAAAAAATTGTGCTCAAGACTGCACAGATGTGGGTGCTGCAGGCAAGGGAGTGCCTTTGATGGCCTCTCTGGATAGAGACCAAGGTTAAACTACTTGGTTCTTGTACATATCAAGGCAGAGCATGTAGGGAGGGTGAGGCCAAAATTTTTAAAGCCCCGGTTTCCCTTTTCTGGCCTTCTTTCTGCTCATATGTTTCATCTGGTTGCCTATTAGAGCCAGGATTTTTTCCTCTCTCCTGGGATGTATTTTGCTTACCTCATACGGTTTACAGGGGAATAGAGAATTGGTTCAAGTGATGTCTTTAAATAGGTTTCACTGTCAGGTCTTGGGGGAGGAAACCAAAAATCTGTGTACACCTTGGCACCATTTTAGTGAAGGGTTGGGCTGTGGAATGACACCCTTGGGTTTGAACCTGGGAGCTAGTCCTTGGGGGAGATATGGGAGTTGACTCTCTCTTTTTGAGTTCTGGGCCGTACAATGAGGAGAGCACCTTTGGTCTGCCTTCCAAAATACAACTGTCTGGGATAAGCAATACCAAAAAATGAATTGCCCTTGGGATCAGGTGTTTCCATCCAAGGGGAGATTGGGGATGATTTTCTCAGACACCTGGCCTGGCTAAGACACCAACCAGGTTGTTCTCCCCCTCTAGCAAGTTTTCCAGGTTTAAACCTTAAATAGTAAATAGGTCAAATAAACTGGATCTTGTTTCATCCAATCTTATGTATTTGGTCTTGTTATTTCAAGGTTGATCATTCATCATTTTGGTTTGGAACCTTTCCTATCATCTTTCATTTATACTACTAAGCTGGTGAATTTTTTTGGATTAAAATCAGATTAATTAAATTTGTGCATACGAAGGGAGTTCCGAGGCATTCAGGAAATGTGTACGTGGGAGATTTAGAATTTGAATCACTTACCCATTTTTTTTCATAAATGTTCTGTAACATTTGGATGTCTCCTAAGGTCAGTTTAATTTTCACTAACCATTAAGCAACTTTGGTAAATCCTAACTTAAATGTCTTTTAAAATCTCATTCCTTTGGCTCCATCTTTGCCAGCGCTGCCATGAGGGAGGCACTGTGGGCATGGCTAATCACAGCCATCTTAACTGTAGTTTGGGAAGGCCAGGCCTCCAACAATTGCAAAAGGCCCTGCCATAAACTACATTCCCCAAAATGCAAAGCTGCTCAGGAGCCAAATGATGGCTAAAGGAACCAAATAGCTGGCTGCAGTAATTGCTGTTTAGAGTGTGTCTAAATAAAATAAACAAAATGATTGAATTTGCAAAGAGGCCTAAAGTAAGCAAGCATTAAGCAACTTTTTCAAACCCATAAGCTGCTTTTAAAAACCAATAATTTAACTTTGGCCCAATTGCCATGGGCAAGGCACCGGGAAGGTGGGGTGGGGGGCAGCCAGCCAGCCCTTTAGTCAGTAATCATAAAATAAAATGGTTGAATTTGCAAAGACAACTAAAAGTAAGTAATATTATAAATCTGTGCTGAGTTGAAGTTATGTGGTTCATTGTGTGTCATGTAGACAGACATTCAAGGACATTGCTGTTGTCGCTTTTTAGGGAGGGGGTTATTTGCTCTAAGCCAATATCTGTGGTGGAATGTAAAAAAAAAGCAATGACCTATATGAATGTGTCTTGAGTGACCCCTCCAACTCAGTAGAGGAAGCAAATGGATGTCAGGAAAGTTTAGATAGTGCCTTTCTGCCTGGAAAAAGGGGGTCAATCAAGATGTCCCTTGATGGTGTCTGTACTATGATATCTGTTCCTGGGTAAAAATGTAATTTCCTAATTGGTTCTGTCATTAAAACATGGCAAAAGTTTAGTACATTGCAAAAAACTTTGTCTTTGCACAAGGAATATAATCCTATATAGCAGCGCATTTTGCTTAGTTGAGTCTCCACCAATTTATCACAGTTTGTGCTACACAAACAGAGTTTCTGGAGTAGTACAACTACTTTCAAAGTAAAGATCATACAATGAAACAGGAAATAACACTTTCAAATTAGGAACATATTTTCTTTACTATTAAAACATGTTTTTTATAAAAACTTTGAAAATTCACCAAGAATCCGTGGCTCAGTCAAACATTCTGAAATTTGGTGCGCTAATAGTGGTAAATGTGATCTACCACTGTAGCAAGTTTCATCAGGATAGATAAAATGAGTGATAGAGAATCTCCTGAAGTTTCCCCACTGCCAATGATGTTTTCCCTATTGGGCAATCGCACCTGCGATAAACAAAGTACTTACATAGTACTTACGTAAGTTTTGTTAGAGTGCCGAAATTTTTACCCTCAAAATTTGGAAGGAACTTTGAAAATAAAATGCCAATACCCCCTACTTTTGAACACAGTTTAGAATCATTTTTTTATGGATCACACATACCTAATACTTACATTAGTAAATATACTCTCATGTGAATTGTGTTGATTTAGCTTCAATATGTACTCCGAGCATGTCTTGTATGGACTAATCTCTAGGATTGACTTATCACTTCTTACTTTGGCTAAAAGCCTATAGGTAGAAAATTAAGGTCATCACCATACCCCAACCTAATAATGGCACTGAATTCAGTGAAGTTGGAATTACACATGAAAACAGTCTGGCATTCCACAGGAGTGTTGAGACAACTCTGTACTGTTTATTTGTTTTGAGCACTTCTATCCCGCCATTCTCTCCAATTGCCATGGAGAGGGGGACTCAGGGCGGTCTCACAAAGGCATCAACAATGCTTACAACATATACATCATATGAATACAATAAAATAGTAAAACAGTAAAAACATCTTAAGACATTGTACACATTAGTCAATAAATTGATTTACCAATTACATTAAAATGCCAGTAAAACCAAAAAAATCAAGAATCAAGCCGGGAAATTCAATGTCAAAACCCCAAATTCCTTTCTTATTGTCACTTTCATCTAATCAAACGCCTGGCCACAGAGCCCAGTCTTCAGTTGTCTACTAGAATAAGAAGTCAGGATATTATGTACAGGGATCTTTCTGTTCTCTAACTCACCATATATCATGCATTCCACTCATGAACAGAATTCAGCTTGTAGTTTTGGACTGACAGAGAGTAATATATTACTGATCTCTCTTCCAAATGGTTGTTTCTCTGCCTACATGTTTCAGATAGATGTTGCTAGATGTTGCTAGTTCAGCTTCTTCCCATTTTGTGTCACCACCTCAACTTTGTAAGTTATAATCCAATCATATTGGAGTAGATATGCCAATCAGAGTGTTTTGTCACAAAGTGAGGAATCAAACCACTGTATTCCAGCCCAAGCCAGCAGAATACATTATACTGCACGACAATCTACTGTAAAGCTATATGCCATTCAGCCATCTGTTTTATGCAATTGCTAGGTATACATCTCAGTGAAAACCTGTTGTCAAGGCAGTCTTATTCATCTCAACATTTGTTTGTCTAGTAGCAAAACCTAGCTCATGTCTACCCAGAAGTAAATTTTACTGTTTTGATGGGCCTTCGTTTCACTAAGCGAGCATAACATAAGCCTTGTGTATGTTCTAGTCCAAATGGATTCTAAGTGCATTCATATATTTATTGACTTTTAAAAATTAGTTACTCTTTTCTTAATTCTTGTATTTCTTTTGTCTCTTGGTACTGCACTGAATTGGTATTATTTTCACAAACTGGCTACAGTAGAAAGTAGGAAAATATGGGTTAGTGTTTTGGCAATTTGTGTTGCTCTCACAAATCCCAAGCCCTAAATAACAGTCTCACCATTAATCCTGTTTCAAATAATTTGACTTCAACCGATGAGTGTTAATTTAACCCTTTGTTTTCACCATTCTTCTGGTCTGTTTTTACCATCAGATGTCAGCACAAGTCAGAATTTAAATTCTCCTTACTGGTTTATCAGGGGCTGAAAGAACTCAATTTCATGTAGCATCTTCCTAACCTTTAAATGCACACTATTCTCTCTAATGAGAGGTAACAGAAATTTATTATATGATAAGGTGTGTGGGTGTCCCCACATTCTTATCTGCTTCATGGTCCCCCTGGTTCTCCTTCCCAATTGCAGAATAGCAATTTAAGAAAGATTTAACCCTTCCTCAATGCTCCATTTATCCTGTTAAAAGCTTACCCCAAAAAAGTTTTCTTCATAATATGGGTGAATATATATATATATATATATATATATATATATATATATATTCCTTTTGAGATAAAAGTGTGCTCTCAAATTCTATGTGGTGTGTGTGTGTGAGAGAGAACTAAACAGAAGGGATAAGACACCTTCTCAATCAAGTGCTCTACTACTTGCAATCTTTCATGACTGAAAGAAAACACGAAAGGAAAAAAATGGCAACTGTGGCTAACATGTGAATTGACTTTTGGAGTGGCAATTGAGATAACTGAAGAAGGATAACTTACAGGTTTGGATCAAGTAAGCCATTTCTGTGTACCAAAATCTCTACTGCCAAGAAAGTATCTTTGGTGGCTGGTTTTCAGGAGTATAGTTGAGAGATATTGCTTATGCAGATTGATCTTTGTATCCTCTTTGATTATAGATCCATTTGGGAAGGTAGATGAGAGAGAACCACTCACCAATGCTGTCAGGAGTGATTCAGCTGTCATTGGAGGTAAGTTGTGTGTTTTTTTTTTTAAAAAAAAACTGAGCTAGAAATATTTTTCTAATGTGATTATTTTTTATTGACTCATATATACTGATGATTGTTCAGTACCGTTTTTATGGCAGTGACTACTATGAGGTCTTCTCCTTCCAATCTTTTATTTCCATACTTTCCTTCAAGCTGCAACCAATTAAAAAGAGAAATTTATACTTCCCGATATGCATTTCCCTACCAAGTTTGAATTCTCTGCATAAGAAACAGAAGGGTATCAAAAGTTTAAAATAAAATAATACACGTTTCTACTAAAGCTTAGAGAGGGCATCTGCATTCCCTCTATCTATGTGTTCATTAAAATAATTTCAAATGACTTATAGAGAAGGAAGGAAGGAAGGAAGGAAGGAAGGAAGGAAGGAAGGAAGGAAGGAAGGAAGGAAGGAAGGAAGGAAGGAAGGACAAATATAAAATGAAATCCATGGCCAGTTCACAACTTTAGAATATTTTGAAATATTGCTTCAGTTCACTGCACTGCAGAATACACTCAAAGAGATACTGTAACTACAAGTTCAGCCACTTAAATGAAAAGAGCCCCATGTGTTCTTGGCTCAATCCACTATTTCAAATGGCTGTTAAGCAATGAATCATCAAACTTTATTACCCATTAGTCTTCATAATTAAATATTGTGAATCAGAGTGCATAAGAGAAAGAAACTGAACTCACACCATAAACACGTCATCATCCTAATCCAGTGGCCCAAGCAATCACTTGCAAGTAGATAAACTTGGAAGCGTGCATGTCTTAAATCAAATAAAACTCCACAAAATGTATGACTCCAATACAATCAAACCACTGCACAACATGATCTGTGAATCTAAATTAATTATATGATAATGATTCAAAAGATTATAATAAAAATATGATCACTCGAAGAATCTGCATACTGCATAAACCCATGCAGAAGTTTACCTCATATGTAAAAGAATTTTGGGTAAAATTATGGATTTTCATATGACCTGCAAATTTCTTGGGAAGACAAGCGGACAAATGTCACTGTGCTGGAAGAAGCAAAGACCACCAGCATTGAAGTGATGGTCCTCCATCGTCAATTCCACTGGACTGGCCATGTTGTCCAAATGCCCCACCACCATCTCCCAAAACAGTTGCTCCATTCCGAACTCAAGAATGGAAAATGGAATGTTGGAGGACAGGAAAAGGGATTTAAAAACGGGCTCAAAGCCAACCTTAAAAACTCTGGCATAAACACGGAGAACTGGGAAGCCCTGGCCCTTGAGCACTCCAGTTGGAAGTCAGCTGTGACCAGCAGTGCTGTAGAATTTGAAGAAGTACAAATGGAGGATGAAAGAGAGAAAAGTGCCAAGAGGAAGGCACGTCAAGCCAACCCCGACCAGGACCACCTTCCACCCGGAAACCGATGCCCTCACTGTGGGAGAAGATGCAGATCAAGAAAAAGGCTCCACAGTCACCTACGGACCCACTGCCAGGACACTACACTTGGAGGGCCATCATCCTCGGACTATGAGGGATCGCCTAAGTAAGTAAGTAAGTAAGTGTGGGTAAGTTGAAGGTAGTCCCATGGAGAGAAGTAATGCACCAGCAATTCCTCAGGGAGCTAGCAGCTCCTCGGTCACCGCTGTCATTTTCTCACCCAGGGATTCAAAAAAGCCAAAAGTGGAACCATGGCAGAGAGAGTAGGAAGATTCAGGTTGGTGTTTCCTTTAGCTTCTCCTCATACAGACTATACTCATGCCTTTCACCACTCTACCAAGAGAAGGGAGGGTTCATTTTTGACATGACTTAAGGTAAGTACTTATATTTATCCATAGATAAATTGACCCAGGTTTCAGGAGGTTATTTATTCACTAATATTTATAATTTATACATGAATATATACAGCAATTACTATATATAAATATATTTATATTATTATAGACTTTTTTGTACACAGTTAATTTTAGGGCTGTGCCTAACATCAGGTATGGAAGATTCTGTACAATGGAATTTTCATTTGCATGTACAGAACACATGGCACAAGACACATGTAGGCTGGGATAACAAATGCAACAATGTGTTTATTGATTACAGCTGAAAATAGGGTCGGTAGACACACGAGTTCTGAATTACCACATCAGCCAGCCCAAGTGCTGAACCAACTACACTAATGAGGTGCCACTGAGTGGACACCGGAGGGCATGCCTGAGCGAATGATGCCCAATCTGCTGGGGGCATAAGGAGCAGGCTCCTGTTCAACACTGGTCCAGGCTAACTGCATCCCCCCCCACCCCACCACCACCACCAAACTATAGGAAGATCCCTCAGCAGAGGGAAAAAGACCCAGAACCGGATCCAGGGCCAATGAAAGAACAAAATAAAAGCAACAATACAGCAAACTGAGGGTGGGAAGCACCAGAAGACAATTGAGGGGCTGGTTTGCTAGGCAGAAAAAATAGTATGTAGGTGGACCTGAGTGAAGAGGACTTCACTCATGTCCACCTAAGGGAGCCAATCAGATTGAAGCATAAGGTTCATGTACCCGAGCCAGTGCATGAAATGCAAAGGCCCCTAGGGAGAAGACGGCCAAAGAAGATGGCGGGTGGAGGATCACCTGTAGCCTCCATCTTCCCGGTAAGTCAGACAGATCTTTTACAAGGCTGAAGGGGAACACTCAGGAAGTGAAGGAGAGCAAATTCGTCGATTTTACCAGTAGTGTCCATTCTGCTGCTGAAAATCACAGCAATCCTGGATATTCTAATGACACATAATGACGTTGGCCTCATTTCACCAAGCACTACTAAGATGTCCGAGAACAAGATAAATAGAAATTGTATACTTCTCTAGTAACACTAGAGAAACAAGGCAATCAGATAGAATTTATTTTAAAAACTGGGTAATTACAAATGCCACATATTTTTAGGGAGAACTACAGACTTCCTGACATAATGATGTTTCCCTGAAATCTGTGCTGCCAATAAACTACAATCCTCACTTTCTTTTCCCTTTTATGTCTGTTTCCCCATTTTCTCCAGGTGTTATAGCAGTGGTCATCTTCATCATCTTTTGTATTGTGGCCATTATGAGCAGATTTCTTTACCAGCATAAACAGACACATCGGAACAACCAGACAAAGGAAAAAGAATACCCAGAACACCTCGAGAGTTCTTTTAAAGCTGATGTTGACTTGCAGAATACAGTGAGCGAGTGCAAACGAGAATACTTCATCTAGCAAACTCTTCAGATGATGATGATGATGATGATGATGATGATGATACAGTATGTTGTTTTACTCATCAATTTCTTTGGAATTCCTCCATCCTTTTGGAAAGAACTCACTTTGCACAGAAGAGATGGGCAGCAGCTGCAGTATCTCATCTCTTCGTCTGAACACACCACAACAGTTAATGCGTAACAGCTCAACCAACTGTGTGTTCTATCTAAGTTGCTCATAACATGCATGGTTGATGGTTTAGTTTCTGGTTGACTGTTTAGTTTTTGGGCCCCATTTAAGTCATCATTTCATATGGGACCTGAGTGATATATACTAGAGGTAAAGTGTGCAAGCTAACTATGTAGCATCACAGCTATTGCAACAAAGTAGTGGGAAAAATAAGACCAAATTAGCTCATTTTTAAAAATTGTATGTTTAACAGGAGCCAAACCAGCATAAGAGTTGTGTTGCATATTGGTGGTGCTGTCTTGATTTTGCAAGCTGAAGATCTGGAAGACTTTATCCCCTCCGTATCTTTCTACTGTAACCTTTTGACTTGAAGGTTCCTTTTCCTCTTATCATTTATATAAAAATCTTGATGGAAACAATGCTCTAGATTAGTGCTGAATCAAAATATTTGAGTTAGAGACTGGATAAAAATGTCCCTTCAAAGATATTTATGACTTTTCATTGGCTTGAAGTTAGGAATTAGGAAAATTGTAATTTTTTTCTGAGGAAAGATGAATGAATGATGACAGAAGGTTTTAGTCTTTCTTCTGCAAAAAGAAAAAAAAACATTGCCACCATTAGCACTAGGATCATTCTTTAAATTAAATAAAAGCCAGACTTCAAATACTTAGACAAAAGGCCCCTAAACATCTTTAAAATTATACAAAGAAATGCCTTTCCTGAGCATTACTTTGATATCAAAGTCACCTCCTTCCTTTTTGAATAGTATACAGTTTCAGACACAAGTTAGAATATGAGAGGCTCTTAATACCACTGTTTCCCTTCTTATACTAATCATATTTTGTACCTCTTTCAATCTGTGAACTCTAGAATGGGCTCTTAATAATTTGACTATGTTATACTTTGGTAAGTGAAGTATGTGCGCACATATATACCTACATTAATATTTTGTGTAATGTTCAAAGAGGATAACTTCCCCTATGTTATACTTTTTAAGAATTTGGCTGTGTAGTTATTCATAGCATATAAGAATTTATATGCCAAAGGGACTTATCAAGAGTGGCTATGAAACAAAAACTAATATTTCAGATTGACAGCATAAGAGCATGTTTCTCTGCTATTGCGGAAGTGACAGAGTTGCTGCCTGCATTAGTTGAAGTTAATGCTACAATAAGAAGTTGCTCTGCATTTTTCAACAATTCTTATTAAACCATACACATTGTTTTTTGCGCGGAGGGGGGGGGCAGAAAATTTCAGACAAATTCCCATTTTCATGCGGCTGTGGTTCATATTGCTTGCACTTCCCTTACTTATGAGATGGACAAGGCCTCTGTGTCCTTTATTTTATGATATCTTCTCCTGGGCTTTAATTGAAGGGTGGGAAGCACTGTTAGCTAGATGGTTGTGCAATAGGACTTTTCTCATTGCATTTATTTACATTGCAAAAAGGGGTCAGTCAAGCATATTGAAAATAGGGAAGTGTGTAATACGTGTGTGTGTGTGTGTGTGTGTGGTTGTGTGTGTGTTGGGGGGGGGTGTCACTCAGTACCACCAGCCATCTTCCATGATGAAACAAATTCAAAAACACCACAAAAATATTTTCAAAAAAAGATACATGCAAGCATTCTCGTGTCCTAATTAATAATGAACCAGAAGAATAAGAAGTCTCTCACAGGATAAATAAAATTGTAGGAAACTGAAGCATTGTATTGTCGAAGGCTTTCATGGCTGGAATCACTCAGTTCTTGTGTGTTTTTTCGGGCTATATGGCCATGTTCTAGAGGCATTTCTCCTGACGTTTCGCCTGCATCTATGGCAAGCATCCTCAGAGGTGAGGTCTGCTGGGATTCAGGGGAAACGTCAGGAGAAATGCCTCTAGAACATGGCCATATAGCCCAAAAAAACCCACAAGAACAAACTGAAGCATGTTGATTAGCACTACCCTGGTGGAAACATTTCCTCACATTTTCAGTGATTTTCCAAAAATGGCAGTCCACAAATGAGAAGGAAAGAAGTGCGTTTTGTCCCTGCAAGATAAAGATTGCTTGCCACCATTTAAATTGTAAAGAGATATTGACTATGAGATGGTATACAGTATGACAGCTGCATCACTAATGTAATACCCAGTATTTGGCCTTGGAACTAAAGCTATTGCCTCTTCCACCTTAAGGATTTTGCGAACGTTTGGATTCTCCTGAGGCTATATAACATGCAACCCATAAAGATCTGCAATGTTCATACTTTAATCATTAGTCCTGGGAGAAGACTTTAAGGACCATTCTTGGAAGCTACGTTTCTTATTGCAAGTATAAACAAATCTCTTTTTGTACCAGGGCTGCTTTTTTTCTATACTTCATACTTGGATGCAAGAAAAAAAATATGAAAGTTTCTTCCCTCTGGTTCAGCTTTGAAAATAGTTTTGTGCATTTTGGATGATTTTGCACATTTTAGGATTTTTCTGCAAAACTTATGTGTATAGGAAAAACTTTTCTTTTCTTTTTTGTAACAATGATATTTTTGTGAAAACCACTTAAAATGAAGAATGTTGTGGCATTTATTCAAATATCCTTTCTAATCAAGGATAATGGATTTTTAAAAATATAATTCGAGCATATTCTTATATCTCTGCTGTACACAAAAAGGGAGATAAACAAAATATTTTTGCTGTCCACTCAGCTGATTTTCCTGAACAGAGAAGTCATCGCTCGTGCTGTCATTTAACCTTGGAGACCTTCAACAGAGCTTTAGATAGCAAAGATTTTTAAAATAAATAAATAAACAGAAGTATGTGAAAAAATGTGCTCCTCAATTATCGGGAAACTCCAACTGGGAATTCTGGATTTATAAGGATCTTCACATTCAAGACTATTTAATGAAAAAAGTACATTAAAAATAATGGTTTTTGCAATAAAATTCCATATGTGAATTTTGCACAGGATGATCTGAACAACAAATGGCCTTTGAAAACGGTGTTGTTCATGAAGTCTTTCATATAGAAGGAAGAAAATTGCTAAAAGCCCTTTCCAATTCCAGAGTTTTCATCATGAATTCTCCATCTACTATACTATTAATCTTCCTCTCTACAATTCTAGTCATAAAGCTGGAAGCTTTTTATGCTATTAATGTCTACCCGCAGTCTTAGTCATAAAGGAGATGCTGTTGCTATAGATTTTCTTTTCCCTGAACATCCCACCATCAATCTGTATCTCTGAATATATACCCATACCTCCATTTCCTCTGCTTCCATCTATGGGATAGGTAGCAAGGGGCGTTCTTCCCAGGAAGAAGTCATGTTCTCCCCCTGTAACTAAAAATGCTTATCATAGCCTGAGTCAAAAGACTAATAGGCCTTCCAGTTATCTTTTACATGATAGTGAATAAACTCAGCTGTATGTTTCCAGTTATATATACAGTCATCTTGGACAGGAAGATGTGTCAAGCACACAAAGTCTGGGAAAGATAACTTTGGGAAATGTACGCTTGACATTCTATGTTCTTTAAAACATTCTTTTGCCCTTGGTAGTAATTAGAGAAGCTTTCAATTTTAGATGAGATGAATGATCTATGTCACAAACCACTCAACTTTGTAAAGAACATTCATTTCAACCTAATGATTATGCTATCATGTCAACACCCTAACAATCAGCTTCAATAAACTTCATCGTTTTTATTTGTGAATATTAAAAAGTTCTTGAACATGACAGCAGTAATTCTCATTAAAGTTGCTTTGATGTCTTTCCTCACATAACTTTTCTAAATTATTGAAGGCTGAATAGGCAGTAGAAGGCAGTGGCTCAAACAAATCTAGAAATGTACTATGCCCTGACTCCACTTGGGAACTCCATTTTTTTTCTCCATTATTTCAACTCTTTGTTGGCTGAGCCATTCTGCTTTATATGATTTCACTAACACAAAGCCACTCATTCAAATCATGTTTAATTGCATTCTCAAAAGAAATGGGGAAGAATACACATTTTTATTCAAATCATTCCTACAACCGGATTGTGCAATATTATACCCCTTTTCAACACAGTCGTTATAAATCACCCATTTACTTTTTGCATCTACAGTTCTTCCCCTCTGTATAAAATTTTGGTATGGGCAATCTAGCTCCATGTATTACTTGGGGAAAAAGAGGAGGTCTAGACAATAAAATAGAAACAGATTGCGAAGTGCTTGCCCCAATTCAAAGAAAAGGGGTTTTCAGGAGAGAGAAGTTACGATTTATTATTTATTATTCTTAATGGAGCCACCAATTTGTAATGTGAGGTAATTTTGGGAGATTGGGCACACTGAACGCCGAATCAATGGAGATGAGGCAGTCTTAAAATCAAAGAGAACAAGTTTATTTTGAAACAAAGCGTATGGTTGCAGTTTGGTGATAAACTTGGAAGATACTTGGAGAACGTTACATATAACTTGGTTGCGATACAGTACAGACTTCTGATGTTACAACTTATCAATAACTTTTGCTGTGGTGAAGCACTTCATTAAACAATGGTTCCTGAGGTGAATAGTCTTCCTGTTTGATCCTTCCGTGATCAAACCTCAGATCTCTAGTTCACTTTTAACTAGTGATCTAAACAAGCTTCTATTAGTCTTCTCTAACTAATGAAACTAATAAGGTTTCCCCTTCAGCCTTCCTAAACTGAAGAAACCTCTGACTATTCACAAACACTGCTTCTCTACTTCCCACTCTCTCTCTCAACACTTCATTTCCCTGAGCCTAAAACCTGACTCTTCATTCCTCTGAGCCTAAACCCCCAACTGACATTTAACTGTCGCTTTTCAAAACTCTCCTCTCTAAGCTCCTCCCACTTCTCTACAGCATCGTTTCCATGGTAACACACTCCTCACAGCTAGGCCGCTCCAGCATTAGGGCAACCAGTGCAAACACCAATACAGTTATAATCTTATCATTTACAATCAACTTCTGTACACAGATTAATTCATTTTTAAGTGGATCGAGCTGGTTTCTTCCAAGTTTTATACTTCTACCATCTATTTTTTTCATTAAAATGTCTCCTCTTAAAAAAATCAAAGTGATGTTCTTTCTCACATGTGTATATAACCGCTTTCTCTCCCATCTCATCTTTGGAATCCTAAGTTGACCTTTTGACTAACTGGCTTTTAAAGATTTTGCATGTAAAAGGAAGACTGAGACCTTCTCTTGTCTTCTAAGAAAGAGAGGTTTTTATATTCACAGATTTAGAGACAGAGAGTTAAATTTGACTGGGTATGCCATTCTGCTTCCTTATCTTAATTAGTGCATTACAAAAGTAGTGCATTCAATTTTAATTGGAAACTTTTTTTTGTATTGGAAAGATACTTTCAGACCAATACACAACTTGGCTCAGTGGAAGCACTTGGATTTAAGTTTAATTAGCCCAGTTTTCATCATTGGGGTAAAATCAGTATTGATGTTGGTATCTCTAATTTCACCTAGCTGGGTTATATATTAAGTTGCCCATTTCATTAGAAGACCATTATATTTCTTGTTTGTTACATTTATTTATTATTTATTTATTTACAGTTTTTATATTCCGCCCTTCTCACCCCGCAGGGGACTCAGGGCAGATTAC